GAGAAACGCAAAAGTTTGCAAGAGAATGCAAAAGCATTGAAATATAATTTTTCCTATTAATTATGCAGGTGAATAATAATTATCTCCTATTTTTTCCCATGTCCCCATAGAGGCTCCATACTTTCAGAACATCCTAAAAATCAACCTAAAATCCCTACCAAATACTGATAAAAACATGTTAAATATTTAAAATATATATATATATATCATAACCAGATTCTAATTACAGATTCCAATATGCTGAATGTAACTTTTGTCGGAATAGAGAATCATGGGTAATGTCAGATGTGAGCTGACAAGCGAAAAACCAATGCATTTCATGCTGTAAGACACATTACAGTTTCAGCAAACCCCAAAATACAAACACCGTGGGTCAAGAGAAGGTGAAGTGTGAAGATTGTCACTATAATTGTCACTTATCAGTAGAAAAGTATTGATATCAGAATAGGTTGTGGTGTTAAACAGCTCACCTGTGGATGTTTATGTGATTTTCTTTTCTCTCAGGGGAACTGAAGAGCAGCATCAAGTTTCTGTCATGTTTATATGATAAACATCTCCACGTATGGCAGAGTGAAATGAATACTTGTGTGAAATGAAAACGAGTAGATTAAACACCGTGGGTCAAGAGAAGGTGAAGTGTGAAGATTGTCACTATAATTGTCACTTATCAGTAGAAAAGTATTGATATCAGAATAGGTTGTGGTGTTAAACAGCTCACCTGTGGATGTTTATGTGATTTTCTTTTCTCTCAGGGGAACTATCTGAAGAGCAGCATCAAGTTTCTGTCATGTTTATATGATAAACATCTCCACGTATGGCAGAGTGAAATGAATACTTGTGTGAAATGAAAACGAGTAGATGGCTTTTTTTATTAGATTTTTTTGTCAGTAGGTTTTCGCTGAAACTTCCTCCGCTGTATACTTTGTCGATCAAAATGAATTTTACCCAATTTCGGATTTTTAAAGTACTGTTTATATATATTTTCGAGATTCAAATATTCGTCTACACGTGCATTGCTCTAAACTAAACAATAGGCTATTCTAAAGAAATTAGAACCTCAAGAATATCGCCTGAAGCAACCGCGAGTAAAATGTGCATTTTCTTCTAAAGATGCGAAATATCTCCCTTCTTTTATATACTTTCGGTCAAATACTCTTTATCCACGAAGCAAGAATGAAATACTTGAATGCATTTTTTTGGAGAGAAAACTCTATATTAAACATGAGGCACAACAGGTGGGCCTCTGCCAATGAAACAGATGCTGTTAAATTGCAATTATGTATGACCGATAAAACAATCACACTTGTTATTTGTAGAACTATAAGATAATCGGTAGGTAGCAGCCCGTCCTCATAACAATCAGAATTATTAAAAAAAAAATGTAGACTAACCTGTTCTTTGAATTTAGTCAAATGCTTCATATATCGTTCATTCATATATCCTACACTTTATTCATTTCCTCTTACGTGAACTAAAGACATGAAACATCAGACGGATGAAACAAACTATATCTTATTTTAAATATACTGTAGATAGCCTATCAATAGTAGCCTTCATCCTGCTGCTGTAGAAGGATTTGCTCAAAGCACCAATACTGCCATCTTGTGTAAATGAGAGAAACAAGGACTAATTGTGCAACATAGTCATGTCATGTGATGCTTGTGTGAGGTTTGTGTGATGTTGTAAAGCATGTCACACCAAGTTATGCAGGTGTTAAACCATACTAATATCTTAAACCTGAGGTGAGAGACATATTAAACACTACTGTTTAATGGGCCTAATGGGTGGAATATATAGTCTAAGCCTACTGCATTTGAATACGTTCTTACACTACCACGTGGACTGGAATATGCTGAGATTGCTTTGCAGGATCCATCAAGGGTTTTAGCAAATAAGGTTGCACAGTAAAAATAAAACATGCGCCTATAGAAAATTGAATTTAAGTCTATATTAAATTTTTCATTAATTGCAGCACTAATGTTTTAACCTGACATTTTAAAATGCAGTTGGTTATATTTATTCATTAAATATACTATAGCTGTCTCTGTCTCTGTGTGTGTGTGTGTGTGTGTGTGTGTGTG